AATATTGACTCCTTAGTTTATTTGTGCACAATATTGACTCCTTAGTTTATTTGTGCACAATATTGACTCCTTAGTTTATTTGATACAATATTGACTCCTTAGTTTATTTGTGCACAATATTGACTCCTTAGTTTATTTGTGCACAATGCAGTCTTGAAAAGTTTTAATTTCTGAGTTAAATCACTTAATGCTATTCTTCAGACCATTTTTCTCACATTAAAAAAGAATTTTTTGTTCCATTTTAATAGCAAGGCTTATATGTTGCCCTCTAGAACACCACCATGGGGACTACTACATTGCTTCTAGAGGGGGGAACATGCACCCGTATTGGTGTTCTAGTGGGGGGAAATACACACCCATGATGGTGTTCTAGAGGGGGGAAATACACACCCGTATTGATGTTTTAGAGGGGGAAATACACACCCGTGATGGTGTTCTAGAAGAGGAAACATGCACCCATAATGATGTTCTAGAGGGGGAACATATAATTTCTACAGCAATGTAGTAAGTCCCCATGATGGTGTTCTAGAGGGGGGAACATACACTTTCTACCGCAATGTAGTAAGTCCCCATGGTGGTGTTCTAAAGGGGGGGAACATATAATTTCTACACACTGTCATGTTATTAAATATCAATGACTACCGTTTTTGGGTATATAAAATGTAGTTAAAGATTCCATATTTCACTGTCATGTTATTAAATATCAATGACTACCGTTTTTGGGTATATAAAATGTAGTTAAAGATTCCATATTTCACTGTCATGTTATTAAATATCAATGACTACCATTTTGGGTATATAAAATGTAGTTAACGATTCAATATTTCACTATCTATATGAAGTTATATTTTCTAAAAGCGTGTTGGAAAGTTGCTTGTTTTGTAAGTATTTATTTTACTGTGTTAAAGAAACAGGTTGTTAATATTCTGAGCATCTTTTATAAGCTGGAAAAACATGATTATAATTAATTATGTGCGTCAGTTAGGCCTATTCTATTTATTCAAACACAAAACTTGTAATATTTTTCCCTCGTTATAATACAATTATACACGTTACTGGAAAAGAGACTGAATTAAGAATGTGTTTGAATACAGGGTGTCCCAAAATGAATATAACATAAAGAACATTGAATAACATTTTTATTATTTAAGATAACAACAAAATTCAAAACAAAATATCTTTTACAGGCCTGTAAGTTTTATATAATTTAATTGATAAACTTGCGTATCTTCCATCATTAGCATAATCTGTGTTCAAATTTTGAGAACACATTTTCCATCTCAGCTGTAGGGATGGATAAAACAGCATCAAGTTTCAGTTCCTCAAGATCCCTTGGTTTGTTATTTAGACTTTTGTTTTCAAAAAGCCCCAAAGATAAAAATTCAAAAGGGTGAACTCGGGGGGAACTCTTCAGTAGTAGTCATTTTACTAAAAAAAAACAGGATCTGTTCTGAAATCTGTAATAAAAACGTTCATAAGTAATAACAATAATAATTAACTTCAATAAAACTTACAAGTCTTGGGAATTCATTACTTAAAATATTTAAAACTGTTTGTATATGTGTTTTACATGTGTTAATAAGTTAAAAAATTTAACTATATATATACATATTTTTTTGTCAAGCTATTCGACAAGAACTTTTTGTTTAGAGTTTTGGATATTAATATCTTTTTTTTTCTTCTTTCAGTACCCGACCCGATGCAATGCTGGGCTCAGCCCCGGCTGGGCAATTGACCAATCATATTGCATCCCTGGTGGAAAAAATCTCGGAGGCAACTAACGTGTTAAAGAATGTTGGCTTTCATGTTAACAATCCTCCAGGTGTGTTAAGCTCAATCGCTTTGTTACGATATTACAGAAAGTACAGTCTCAACCATTTTCTTTTCTTACGTATTTTACTGCTTTGTTTTAACTTGTACTACTTGTCGTCTGTGAACAACAACAACAGCTAATAATGCATTATCAACTTTCAATCATTTAAACCAACAATGAAAGGTTAAGTTTATCAAGTGGTTCTGGACGAGTTATTACAGCAGATAGTGTTGTATTTTAGAGATTTCAAATATCCAAAAGATTCCACAATTAGGTTTTTATAGAAGATATTGTTGAAATAATTTCTTTCAGCAAATCAGGAGTAAACATTTCCTGAAAAACCAAAGCAACAAAAAAATTAATCACCTCAATTTTGACAGCACATGTTATTGCCTTTGGCCTGTTTCAGTTGTCCAGTTTTTGACAGCACATGTTACTATCCTTTGGCCTGTTTCAGTTGTCCAGTTTTTGACAGCACATGTTATTGCCTTTGGCCTGTTTCAGTTGTCCAGTTTTTGAGCACATGTTATTGCCTTTGGCCTGTTTGAATTGTCCAGTTTTTGACAGCACATGTTATTGCCTTTGGCTTGTTTCAGTTGTTCAGTTTTTGATGGCACGTGTTATTGCCTTTGGCCTGTTTCAGTTGTTCAGTTTTTGACAGCACATGTTATTGCCTTTGGCCTTTTTTAGTTGTCCAGTTTTTGACAGCACATGTTATTGCCTTTGGCCTGTTTGAGTTGTCCAGTTTTTGACAGCACATGTTATTGCCTTTGGCCTGTTTCAGTTGTCCAGTTTTTGACAGCACATGTTATTGCCTTTGGCCTGTTTCAGTTGTCCAGTTTTTGACAGCATGTGCTATTGTAATTG